TTGTATGTATTTGTATGTATTTGTATTTGTATGTATGTATGTATGTATGTATGTATGTATGTATGCATCATGTATGTGTGCGTATGTATGTATGTATGTATGTATGTATGTATGTATCTATCTATCTATCTATCTATCTATGTATGTATGTATGTATGTATGTATGTATGTATCCATGTATCTATGTATCTATGCATATGTGTATCTATGTGTGCATGCATTTATGTATCATGCATGGTGCAACATTGGCAGCTAGAGCCGCCAGTGTTGGCCCCGCCAAGCTTGTCGGCGAAAGAGGCATTGCTTGAAAGTTCCTGGAAAATTGAAAACTGTGGCAGGGCCAACATCTCGGAGCATACGAATGCCAGCATTTTGGAGCATACGAATGCTAAAATGTAGTCGCTGCTGGCGAGGCATTGAAAGGGGTGGGCTAGTCTTGACGGTTCGTGGTCGAATCGGAAGGACCTGCACCTTATCATGTGGTTTCCTGCTAACCACCATTTTGTAGGCAAGCAAAGTTTGTCCACTGGTTCTCATGCGAGCCGTGCTGCGGTTTGTAGCTGTTTTTTTGGCTGGCCCCACTTCCGGCCCCAGAGCTCTCGCAGGTCCTGTACCAGCCGGACTGGGCCTGGCTGTCGATGCTGGTGTCGGCACTTCTGCCAACCTGGGTCTTGATGTTTGAATGGCGGCAGGTTCGGTGGTCGGAGTTACTGTAACATCTGCAGGAAAGTCGGATACAAGCACCGTCTTTTGCCGTGGTGCTTCCCTGGACCTCTGCAGGGCTTGGCGGGGCCAGCATGGCTGCCTCCCCTGCAGCTCGGGGCCGCCTTTGCGCCTGCGTGGTCGCAGCTGGCAGAAGTACTGGGCATGTCTACCTCGACGCGAATGGCAGGTCAGGAGCTGAGACCTCTTGGCGGCGGAGTTATGCTTCAGAGCCTTGAGCATCTTCGGCGATAAAGCATAGGTTGATTTCCCAGATCCTGATGAGACGTGCTGTAGTTCCTCGCCTAGGCTTCAGCACCATTGTGTTGCTGTCAATGATCGGCATGGTCACAGCCGATCGGAGAGCCCGGCATCGTCAGCATAAGGCTATGCTAGAAGCTGAAGTGCCGAAGATGATGGAGGAGCTGAAGATGCGAAATCCCAAGCTGGCGTGGTTGCAAGAGCATGAGCCCTGCGAGGAGCTTCTCCATCGCTTGAATCGAAAAGGAGTCCTTCTCTCTCGATTGGCCTCCGCGGAGTTCGGCGGCTCTCTGCCAGTCCTCGAAAGCTACGAGAATCCGCGGGGCCCGGGGGAGATAACGCCGTAGTCGCTGGCCAAAGGGGAGGCCTTGATTTGAACCCTGGAGGCCTGGCGAGCACTCTGGAGGCCTTCGAGGCCGCGACCCGGATGGAGCGACTGAGCACGGAGTTTCTGATCTCGCGAAAGGAGCGTCCTAGACTGCATTGGACTGCCACGTCTTGCACTTCTCCCGGTCGCACATGAATGCGTCCACAGCACGATGCCACTTGGGGTTTGAGCTGGTTTTAGGTGGCTCGCCGAACTGCGCGAGGGTCGGGACGACTACGCCGTGGTGGCACGCTGCGGCTCTCGGCTGGTGGATGCAGTCTGCACGCCGTCCAGCACCGTGCTGGGGCTGGAACTCAATTTTTATGGTGCACAGGAAGGGTAGGTGTTTGCAAAGTTGCCGGGCAGTGTGCATCTTTCACTCACCTCAATGGCTGCTTTGCTAGAAGCTGAAGCTTGTTCTAGCCTTTGACCTCAGGTGCAGACGATGTGCCTGCTGAGACGTCATGCGACCCGCAAACTTCCCAGAAGCTGGGTTTATATACTGTGTGGGTCTCAGAAGATTAGGAGAATTGGGGTCCCCAATTCTCTGGAACTCCAATGCTTCTACCATGATGAGTTTGGCTTGTTGGTCAGGGTTAAGTCCTAATGCGCTCGACAGCTTCCAAGGAGACATTTGGAAGATGATTATGAGCTTCGTCAGTGATGTTCGAGTCGTCTCCAGCCTATTGGAGCCAGTGGCTCCTTGATGGCAGGTCCTGCAGGAACAAAGCACTCGTGGGTGTTAAGCTGGCCAGCCAATGCCATCTTCAGCTGGAAAGCTCGACCCTTCACCCAAACACCCTGGCTTGACAGTGTCACCTGTAAAGCCTTCTAGACGCATGTTGCGAGGTGAAGCATTTCGGTGGTGGCCAGCCGCAACATCAAGTCGTTCCCTGGCCTGTCGAAGCGTCAAGTGTCAAGATCGGGCAGCCCAAAGAGACTTCCCTGGAAGGTCCGAGGCTGGGAAGCCATGAAGGAAGTTGGCGAGTGGCTGCAGCGGCAGCGACAGGCCCTCCGCACAGTGTGAAAAGGAGTGTAGGTAGGAATGTGCGGAGGGCAAGCCGGCTTCCAACAGGAGGAGGCTGCAGAGAGCTCCAATCTGAGGGGCAGTCAGGCTATTTCCCAAAAACAACCGGAGTCGCAAAGCAGATCAATGGTAGTCTGAGGCGTTTTTAAAGCCTGAGTGGAAGTTTAGCAAAACCAGCAAGTCCATTGCAGGCGACGGAGGGTGATATTCCAGAGCCAGGCGAGGATGCACTTGCCAAGCAGCTGGCCAAGTGGTGGAAGGCTCGAAACCTTTGGCCAAACTCCAAACCTGACACGGGCCGGGCCCTAGAGCTCGAGGTCCAAGCCCTAGAGGGATCTGAGCTTTTTTTGCCTTTGCAATTCACAGGAAGGGTTGAGATCTGCGCAATTCCCTTTAGCTGGCCTTAGGTTTTGAGATGTTTTGAAGTGCTGAGGAGAGTGAATCTTCTTTCCCCTCTCCGCCACCCCAGCGGCCCAGATGTACCGTCGTCTGCCCTAGCTGGAGCCCTGAGCACCTTGCTCCCTCAACATCTCTTCCTGGAATCTCTTCCTGTTTTAAATGCAGACTTGCCTGTAACCAAGATTGAAGACGGCGTTAAGAAAAAATAAATAAGACCCTCAGGCTGCTCCGAAGAGGTTTGGCCGTTCCGGCTCCCGAAAGGTGCGGGCTGAGGAGGAGCGCTCAAAGTAGGGCTCACGTTGGTCCTAGGTTCTGCAAGATTCAAGGCCGAAGTAGGCCCCGCGGAGCTTGTTTAACTCGAAGCATGTGGCAAATATGGCCCAACGGAGAGTTAGGGCTTGTAACTGTCCCCCAAGCACATCAACACCTACATGCTGAAAGCATTGCTGGGTTCGGCTCGTCTGGCAAGTGTGCAACATGTGTGTGACGAGAGCAGTACATAAATTATCTCAAAAGCCATGGGACTCCTCGACCAACACTGAAAAGGGACACTCACATCCTTCCCGAAGCCACTCCTGCGGGATTTTTCGGAGGATCGGAGCACCTGGATGCAGGGACCTCGTGCATTGACGCCCGGCTGCCCGCTGGTGATGGGCCCATGAGGCCGCATGACGCAGCTTCTGCATCGAGATTTGGTGGAAGAGGTGTATAGGGCTTCGAGCTGACAGGGTGCAGGATTGCCTTGGGTTGCTGTGGTCGATCTTGAACGGACTTGTCAATTCTTTGACGCGGCGGATCAGCCTGCAAGTTGAAACATGTAGCAGCTACCACTCAAGTGGCACTGTAAATATTTGTAAATGTAGAGCTGGCATGTGTGATCTGATTGAATCGGAACTAGCTGCCTGAGTTATTTGCCTGGTGGCAGCAGATTGATGGTACAGCCAGTCAGTTTGCGCGCAGGCGATGCAGCAACGACTGCTCACAAAACACCCAAAACTCGACACCCCGAGTCCCCCATCCCACTGTGTCAGGACAGTGTACAGTCTGTCCGTCGCCCCGAGAAACAGGAAGACCTGGAGTGCTTTTGCAGGGAAGTAGAGACGAAACCCACCCCAGCCTCGTACCATATGGAAAGAGTCGACAGGTTGTGGTTGCAGGGCTTGCTGGGATACGTGGTGTCCGTTTGTGTCTGTGTGTATGTGCGCGCAGCTAGAGACGTATCACTAGTGGCTTCGGCCCACGTACTACCTGACGGAGGTTGAGAGTTCAATGTTAGCAGGTTAACAGGGAGTCCACAGTTCTGTTGCGAACGAAGACAGCGGTGGATACTTCAGTCTTTGTACCTGCCATTATTCTGTTTGCTCGTCTCAGAGTGCATCATTATTCGTGTTCGTTGATCCTACATACTGCCTTTTCGGTGTTGCGTGTTCGACACTACTGATTGATAAAAGGCTCGCAGGCAATGGCCCTCCCACAAGCCGTCCAAATACACTGGTACTCGTACCACGAGCACTCCTTCGCGCGAGCGAGCTGCTCAGCACATCTGACTCCGCTTCTCTTGGCTCTCAGCTTCTGTGGAGGGTAGGGGAGTTTGAGACCACGTATGCTCGCAGGTGCAGGGCTTGGTGTTCTAGAGTGGCATAACCAGGCAAGGGGAGCATCTTGGAGGCCTGCGAAAGCTGAGATCTCTTATCGCAAGGAGTCCCAAAAGCCGATAGCAGACTTTAAGCTTCATTCACGGACGCAACTCTCAAACAGCAAGTTAGTCGCAGAGACCCTTGCCCAGGTGCTGCTTTTTCGGCTTTGGCCGGCCCATGGCGAACGGGCCGGTGCTTCAGTCTGTGGGGCGGGGGGAGAGCTGGAGTTTTGGAGTTTGCATTGAGCCTGAAGCCTGCAAATCCTGGAGCCTCCTGGGTGTCCTTTCGGTTGCCGAGGGCAGTCAATGGCAAACACCACCAGAAGGCGCCGGCCTCCGGGCATTTCTCCGGAGCCTCAGCCGCCGGAAGTTGCAGCCCGAGCCATGAGACGAACGAGACCCCACTGCAGCGTTTTTTTGCCCGTTAGGCCCGAACTCTCCCACGTGGCAGGTGACATGGGACATGGCAACTGCCACCCCGAACGTCCTGCCCGTCGCGGATGGAAGGTCACCCATGACCGGGAATCCGTGCGTTCCCCTTTCTTTTGGGGTCCCAGCTTGCGTTGAGAATCATGAGACCTGGCGAGACTCAAGTGGCAAGCCTTCGAAGTTTGCTGTTGACGAGGGTGTAGGAAAGGGCAAAGGCTAGATTGGCAAATGGCTAGTGGCTGCACAGTCCCATGTTGCTGCAAAGCTTTGGTGCATTTGCTCAGGCTGCTCATGGCTTTGTGCGATGGTGGCTTGCAGTACGTGTTTGGAGGCTCGGAACTCCGGGCTGTGGAAACAGATGAGTCGACACTCGCTCCGGTTGCAGCCTCCGCTGGCTTTCCGAATCTTCTGAACTTGAGGTGCATCTCTGCAAGGTACGACCTTTGTAACCGAAAGGCGAGGAGGTGTTGGGCATGGTATGCCAGAAGCTGGAAGCCTCGGCGGTGGCGGATGCAAAGTACAAAGAATATAGTCCGCTGAAGAGTGGATGCAGCATCATCAGCACCAAGCTCCCGACGGAGAAACGTGGCTAGAATCCTCAGCCCTGCGCGACTCTATTGTTCCAAAAACCCTGAACTTCTTGTCTTGCATCTTCGCAGAGTACAGCTGCTAGAGCTCCAGACTCCAAAGCCTCAGATTGCCAGTGATGCAGGCGTTAGAGCCACAGTCGGCGCGAAGGCCTGGATCATGCTTGGAAAGACAGACTTATCTATGGATCTCACTTTACGCGTTGTGCGGTGCAGGGCGGATGTTCCATGTTCGAGATCACGATCGTGGAGCTGCTGGAGCCCATAGAAGGCCTCGGAGTCCTAGAATCCGTGCCGGCACACAAGCTTTCAGCGAACGGAGATTCTTGCCAGATGTCATGGTTCGGCCCTCCTTCAATGTCAGTCTCCCTTTCATGGACAGCTAGGATCCAGGTTGTGTTATCCTTCCGTCCTCGGGCCGATTTCCGCCGAAAGGCGAGCCGCGCCCACGTGCGGCGCCGGCCTCGCATGGTGCTCGGTGCGGCAAAGTGTATTTCAGCCCTCGCGTCAGGAAACAGAAAGAGCAGATGGATGCACAGGGCACACGGTGCTCTGTCAAGTTTAGGACATGAGGCAACTCCGGAACGTGAGACCTGGCCTGGTGATTCGCAAATAGGCAAGGTTTTCCCAATCATCCGAATCGCAGCTCGCTACTCTTAAGAGGACGATGGACAGTTCGGAGTTGCTGGCTTAGATCTGGAGAACAGTGCGACGACTCGTGACGGGGTGTCGGGACGCTGGTGGATACGGGGCATCCCCTGTCAAGATGCGGGCGAAATGTGGGCTCAAAACTAGAGAAGCTTGTCGACAGGGCGCTGCCACGAACAGACGGCTAGCAAGATTGAAACAAAGATTGGGATAATCGGACAAGGGTTTTATCGGAGAGTCAGAGAGTCTACAGACGCGATCCCGCCAGTCCGGGCAGCCAGCTGCAACGGGCGTTGTTGTGGCTGGCAGTTAATGAGCGGTCTCTTCGAATCATGTCTTACACTTGCGCTTGTGTGCCGAACACAGATTCTGTTAAGGCTTGCAATCTTGTAAACCAATGACATGTAGGCGAGAGCTCCTCTACTTGGATTACCTAATTAAGTCTAAGTATTTGCTACTACATGTTGCGGGATGTCTTAGGGTGAGCTCGGAAAGAAGCCTCGGCCAAAAATAAACTCCCGGAACCTTGGCCGAAGCCGCGCTTGTCAAGGCGGCAACTTCTGCGCGTTGGCTTCTCGACGCTAGAAGCCGCCCGCTTGAATCGAAACAGAGTTTGAGACTGTCACTGAGCGATGGTTTCCGCTCGATGCAAAGCCCTGGTAAGAGTTTTGCGGTCTTTGCGGCATCCGTGTTTGCAGGCACTTTTAGCTTTGCTCAGCTTTTCTGCAGTTGCCAGCGATTCGCTGAGCACCTCATTCGTTGAGGGTTCATCCGTGATGCATTCAGAATTCAGCCTGCCTTGTCTTATGATCCATGGCGTTTTGTTCAGACTCCAAGCACGACGGAGGCGGGGGTGCTGATGGACAATGCAGCCGAGGGCCAGGCCATGTCCGACTTGAGCCTTAGGAGGTGCCTTTAGCGCGCTCCTGTGGCGTGGGCGGGGGATGAGGGTCCAGGCCTCAGGTCGGAGGTACTTCGAGCCGAAGTCTGCCGCAGGCATCGTCATCATCGTCATCATCATCATCATCATCATCATCATCATCATCATGCTCTTAGTACCCTAACATCAAGTTTTAGACAGCCTTAGGGCCGAAAAGCCTTGACAGGTGTTTGTTGACAGCCTCGGCCAGCTTTCGCTGCCCGGGTCGAAAGCTCGAGCCGGGGCCCACGTAGCATCAGCTTTATTAGCATCATGAATATGACAGTGTTTTTTACTGTTCAGGATTTGTTGGGTTGTCTTCGCTAATCATCATTGCTTTTTGCTATCATAAAGATGTGTAGTGCTACCATCCGTTGTTGCGGTGGCATTGTCCGTAGCTTTCGTGTCGACGACTGTTTTTATTGCTCTATGATGATGATGATGGTGATGATGATGTTGTTGTTGTTGCTGCTGTTGTTGTTATTGTTGTTGTTGTTGTTGTTGTTGTTGTTGTTGTTGTTGCTGTTGTTGTTGCTGCCAGTTGCTGCCGTTGTTCTTTCTTCTTCTTCTTCTTCTTCTTGCTGCTGCCGCTGCTGGTGTTGCTGTTGATGTTCATGCTGCTGTTGTTCCCGCTGTTGTTGGCCGCACTAGCAAGTGTTGCTACTGCTGCCACCCACCCACTCCTTGTAAGGGTTCGGGGTTTTGCACCACTCTTTTGGTTTGGGTTTTCGCACCCATTCACTTCGCGTCCACCCACTCCAGCTAGAATCTTGCACCAGGAACTGTTCGGGTCTTGGTTTTCCGCACCCAACCACTCCTTTTCGGTTCTTGGGTGTCGCACCCACCCACTCCTTTCGGGTTTTGTTTTGGCAGCAGATACTCCGTTTAGGGTTTCGGGTTTTCGTGGAACATACTCCGTTAAAGGGTTTGCAGCACCCAACCACCCGGGTTTCCGCACCCACCCACTGCTTTGTTTGGGTTCTCGCACTGCTGATCTTGTGTAGAGTTGCTTTGCATGTATGTTGCACTCGCAGGGCCCGGCACGGAGCGCTAGATGCTTCGGCAGAACACCGTGCTCTCACTGGCTCACCACGTGGTGCATGAAAACTTGATCTTGTATCTTGAACAGACTTTCGAGGTCACTCCACACGACCTAAACGCCTAATCCTGAAGCGTAGTTCCTGTGCTGAAGACCACTGCATCTATGCCCACCGGCTCCCGCGCAGCTCTCCGGACTCAGGTGTTCCAGCGATTACATAGAGACGAGGCATGGAACTAGCTTTGCGGTGGCCTTCCTGCTGGCTTCGCGACCGTCGATAGAAATTCACTCATAGATCCGATGGAAACAAGGGAGACTGTGCCCAGGAAGTTTGTTCTGCCAAAAGTTGCTTAACGTCTGCTCACCCGGATGTTCGCTCCGGCTGTTTCACTGGGTAACGCGGTCGAGCTGCTGAAGCCTTGCACGGCTCAAGCCCTAAAATCTGCTCAACAAGTTTGGGAAGGTCGTTGGCTTGATGCTGAACCTAGACCAGGACAGTCCGGAGGCCAGACATGTTCATTGTTGCCTGCTTTGGGTACTGGGGTTGGACCTTCAGTAGGTTTCTGAAGCACATTGGGGTGACGGTTCTTAGGGTTTGTTACTTGATGCAGAACATGCATCTCGAAGTTGTTTCGGTTATTGCAGAGGCATGCATGCAGACAACTGTTCGGTCTTCATGATATGCTGAGTATGATGGAGGGCTTGCACTCCTACTTGCTGCTGGACCTGAGTAGACTACATGGGTTTCTTGCGGTTCGGGATCCTTCTGCGATGTCCTTCCCAGAACTACGGATCCTACAATGTTCTTTCCCTTCGCATGGTTGGCGGGTTGAGAGTTTTTCGCCAGTGTTGAACGTGCGTCGGCAAACCTGTGCCCAGCAAGGCCAACACTCTCAGCATTTTCCGCGACGGCGTGCGTCCGGCACCGAAGATCGCCTAGTCTCGTGAAGCTGCCTGGTTGGAGCACGTTGGCCGTCGATGAGGGACATGATGTCTTCTAGTCTAGTGCGCAAAAAGAAGCACACAGGTTAGCTGAGCGTGGGTGGCCAATGTGGGTTCGGGGATGCTGGGAGTTCATCTGCAGCCCGGAAGCCCTGATGAGTTGCGTCGTCGATTTCGCAAGAAAGGAGGTGTTCCCGGCAATCCTTGTGGCCCCCGAGCACGACATGCATCAAGCAGCGCAAAGGAAAGAACCGGAAGTGCTGAAACAACTGCCCTTCGACAACCATCTTTCGAGGTGCTTGCCCGCCGCAGAAGCTGCCTGAGGGTCTGACCGGGAAGGCATTACGGGAACTCTTGCCAGACAGGACGCAGATCAGTCGAAGTTAGCGACAAAGAAGCTCTGAATAACCGAGGATGCCAGATAGCATGTCAACCAGTCCACCAAGAAGCTTCTCAATGCCGAACCTTCGATCTCTTCCCCCTAACCTGCACTGTCTTCTGTGCTTCTTCGGACTCAGGGTCTTGGCTGGGTGGATCGGTGTCCTAAGCACTCGCCAAGCAGTCGAAATGCTGGATCTTAACCCGCAAAATCTCAATCCCATAGCCCTGGCATTCGACAGACGCTGTTCCCGACCGTGACGTTCAAGAACATGACTCTCCTCGTCAACTTCGGCTGCTGGCTCAGCTCGTGAAATCTGCCAGCTGGCTGGCTTCCTCGATGAGTTCGACGGCTTAAACTAAATTGGGAGCACTGATGTTTCGAATTGCAAAGCCCTGAACTGTATGCTGCTGGCTGATCTGGAAAGGGCTTTCCCAAAAAGCATCTCTTGACTACGCTCGACTTGAGCCGTGATGAGCTCTCACCCTACTAATGCTATGCCGCTAGGCCGCGGGAGCCTCGTTGTAGGCCTTTCGCCGAGCGTTCCGGTGTCTCTTCTGCATCCGAGGCCCAACACCGCAATGCAAAGTCGATGCCACCTGCGCCATGCTGCAGGAACCATGCTGATCTGTTGATGCCTGTGTTTGCCAGGGTGAGACCAGGGTGAGATCTGAGCAGAAACCTCTTTTACCGGATCATGGGCTGGGAGTCGTTTCTGCCTGGCCGGTAACCCAGGTTCGCCTGAAGAGTGGTTTGCTGACCAGTTCACGAGTCAGATGAATATACACGAATACTATTTTGGCTCAAAGAAGCCTGAGCTCCTTTCCACAGAGCCTCGAAAGTCCAAGCAGCGGTGCCTCTGGTGAGGATGTTGGGGAGGAGGACATGGAAGTCATTGAGTCGGAGGATTTTGCCGCCAGGAAGCCCGAGGCTGCGGCAGACCTGGACCAACCCCCCGAAACCCCGAAAGGACGCGCCTCGGTGCGCCGAGGCCTCGCTTTTTTCCACAAAGAAAGACAGAGGCTTCGGGTGACTGCAAGACAAAAAAAGTTAGCAATCCAGCAGTGAAGCCCAACCCCAAGAAGGGCGCAAAACTTAAGCAGCGCGCGCCACCTGGAAACTCGGAGGTGCTTTTTCCTTTGGGCTTGCCGGATCACGGCCTTTTTGACTGGGTGGATCAGTTCCTCCAGGAGAATCCGAGGCGCGGGCAGCACTAGAGGGGTTCTTTCCGGTTCGCGACAGCGGCAGCTGAGAGACGTTTATTTCCTCCACGTATTGGCTCCAAGTTCAGACCATAGGGGAACATTTCTCGGAGACCTCCTCCAGTTGTTGAGGCTTCGGTGTCTACTGTGTGCTGGCAACGGTGGGGAGATGCAAGTGCTTTGTAACAGCGCGGTTCCCCTGCAATCCTCATGTAACTATTACTGTGACAACCTCTTCTCAGATGGGCAGGATAGCAGAGCTCAGTGAGCGAAAAGCTATTGCATGGGCTGGATCCCAAGCACTGGGTTATGACCGCTTCGACCGAAGGCTCCGCGGGATTTCAACCAGAGTTGGCGCAGTGAGCTGGAGCAGCGTCGGAGTCGATGGGCTGTTCTTTCAGGATCTGTTTCTCCTTTCCTGCCTGGGTGCCCGAGCAAGGGCTTAAGGCAGGCGCAGAACGCCGGGCGCAGGCCAGAAGCCTCACAGCTCCCACTATGCTGACTCGCCAAGAACTGTAGCAGAACTCTCAAACCGAAGCATTTATCCCAAACCACCGGGTCGTGGCCGAGGCTGAGAAGAGTGGTATTCCACAGGGCCCGCGACGTGACAAGTCTCAAGACAGGCCCTCGTTCGTCGAGGGGTTGCGAAGATGCGCTCAGGCTTGTTGCCCAGCCCCCCAAAGCCGCAACTCCACACTAAAAATTCCATCCGGTCAGACCAGTGCACAACGCTGAGAAGTACCGCATCATAACCCCATGTAAACTTCTTAAACGCCGCATCGGCATTCTTCAACCCTAAGCCTTTTCAAGCCATCAGCCTGAAGCCCTGCAAAAAGCAACCCCAAAGCTCGGGGATCACATGTTATGTTTGTTTGTTGGGGGAACCTTAGGGTTTTTGTTGATATGGCCGCAAGCAGGCAAGCGAGTGAGCCATGAACGCCAATTCCGCCCCACCAGCAAAAGCAACGCTTCATGCCGAGACAGCAAAAACAAGAACACATGCACCCCGGCTTCGACCGCAAGAAGAAGCATGCACCGCAGCAAGAGACACAAGCACTCCCGCTTCGAAAGGCAAGTAAGCTCCGACAACACAAGAAAAGACAAACTGCTATTGCCAGGCCGGGTACGAACTTCGGCATCGGGGCTCTGGACGATGGCAGCACCCACAAGGCTCCAGGGGGGCTTTGTCTGCAGCATCCAAAGCTTTTCGCCAACGTGGTGTCATCATCTTCTGGTGTGATTGCGACACAAGAAGAATGGTTCTTTCCAAAAGATGCTGTATGCCATGGTGGCAACAGCAGCAACAGCCCGGCACCAGCGCCAGCGCTAGCACCCAATAGCAGCAACAGCAGCAACAGCAGCAACAGCAGCAGCAACAGCAGCAGCGACAGCAGCAGCAGCAACAGCAACAACAGCAGTGACGACGACGACCACGACGACGACGACCACGACGACGACCACGACGATGACCACGACGACGACGACGACGACGACGACTACTACTACTACTACTACGGCTGCTGCTGCTGCTGCTACTACTACTGCTACTGCTACTATTGCAACCAATTACTACTCCCATTTCAGTAGTACAACACTGTAGATACTGTCACAGCTGCTGCTGTGTCTCGTGCTATTTTGTTCACGATTGCTACCAGTACTCTCGTCGCCAGCATTGTTTGGGGAGGTTTTGGGAACCTGCACCGACACAGGCCCCAACAAGCACAGAACATGAGAAGATCCGTGGTCGTCCAGGTGCTCTCGTTGGCAGCCCCTGCACTGAGGCCTTGCCCTGCCTCGGGGGCATGCGATGTTCAATCAGATTTACTTGAACGCCTTGGACATTTGATTTAGTGGAGCCCCCGGCCCTCTGGTTTTCCAGCCTCACAGTATGAAGGCGAGACCTCCTCGTTTTGGAGCTCAATAACAACCTCCGCGCCAGTGAGCGCAAGAAGGCCCTCGCGAGGCCCGATTGACCAGGAGCTGGCTCGAGAGAGATGAAAGGGTCTGGTGGTAGTGGTGGTAGTAGTATTAGCAGCAGCAGCAGCAGTGGTGGAAGTAGTAGTAGTAGTAGTAGTAGTAGTAGTAGCAGCAGGAGTAGTAGTAGTAGTAGTAGTAGTAGTAGGAGTAGAAAGAGCAGCAGCAGCAGCAGCAGCAGTAGTAGTAGTAGCAGCAGGAGTAGTAGTAGTAGTAGTAGTAGTAGTAGTAGTAGTAGTACCAGTAGCAATAGTAAAAGAAAACAGAGCCAACAACAATAGAAATAGCAGTAACAACAAAAAAACTAAATGGTAGTAGTAGCAATAGTAATAGTGCTAGTCCGGGTAATGGTAATAGTAACAGTAATACTACTGGGAATAGTAACAGGAACACCAATACTAATGGTAACAGTAATAATAATAGTAATGGTAGTCGTTATTGTAGTTGTAAAAGTAATAGTACTAATTATTGTGGTAATGATAGAAAGTGTCCTAATACTATTACCAGTACTAGTAATGGTGACAGAAACAGCAATATCAAGAGTAATTCAATAGCAATAGCAACAGGAATGAGAATAGCAGATAGTAGTAGTAGTAGTAGTAGTAGTAGTAGTAGTCATTGGAAGGTTAGTAGTAGTAACAAGAAAAAGAATAACAAAAGTTATGGTACGAGTGAGAAAAATACAAAATGACAGTGAAAAAAGCAAGAGTCTGAATTCTAACATTGACCAAGAATCGTCGGAGCCGTAGTACGAGTGCGAGACATGGACGTGATGCACGCTGGGGACGGGTACCGCAACTTCATGGTGGCTGTGCCCTGCCTGGGTATGGTTTAGGGCGTATTTAGGATTTAGGGTGTAGGGTGTAAGATCTAGGGATGAGGGTATATTTTGGGTGTAGGGTGTAAGGTTTGGGGATTAGGATGTATTTAGGGTTTTTTTTGAGAGCCCTGTTCCACCTCGAAACAAGTCACCAACGGTAGAGAGCCTCAATGAGGCAGGCTAGCTAAGAACTCCTCAGAGACCGTAGTTCCCTTTCATCTTCACTTCGACGACCCTTGAGACTGCGACTATCCACCTCCCTGCTGCTGCCCTGCATCTGGATTCATCCCGAGGTTCCTTGACGTCGCATTCGATCCCAATACATTCCTGCAGCTCTGTATTTAGGGTTTGGGGTGTAAGGTTTAGGGTTGTGACAAGGGTTTAGGCTGTATATTAGAGCTTAGGTTTTAGGGTTGGTTCAGGGTGTATTTAGGGTTTAAGGTTTAGGCTGTAAGGTTCAGGTTTAGGGTTTGTTGTGTAGGGTTAGCCGTTTAGGGTTTAGGCCCAATCCCTCAAACACGAACTCATCTCCAGCATACTTGAAGTTTAAGAGAAAAAACCCTTTTCCGTAAACCCTAAACCGAAAAGTTCATGGTTTAGGGTTCAGGGTTGTAGAGCTCAAAGTTTAGGTTTCTGTGATCTTTTAGCTGTTGCCACGGGCTTCTGGGAGTGGGCCGCATCTTGGAAGAGAGAAGAATCCCTGATACACGGAGGTTGTATTCCACCGTTGGGTTTAGGGTCTACAATGAGGTTTAAGGGTTTAGAGTCTAGGATCGTAGATTGTCTAATCCAGCCAAATCCGGGCTTGTCTGATTATAACGGCTCTGCCTGACTGCAGACTACACGGCTGCCTACCAGCTTGTATATATTTGTATTTGTATCTACCTGGCTGCACAATGATGTGGATGTGTGCACACAAGTCGAAATTACACTCAACGTTAAACCCTAATAGATCGTCGCTTAGTGGGCGGGATCCTCGAAACTGTGGTCTCTGCTGGATCCTGGGCCCACGACGTGTGAGAGTTATGCTTTTTGGTTTCCGATTTCCTGGTCTCATGGGTGTTATCATGACGGTCGCCTCAATGTTAACTCAGCAATCTTGGTCGCTGTACTCTTCGCTTCTGCTGGTATGTATGACAATCGTTGGGACGGATGGTAGTTGTCACTCGTCTGTTTGGCTCGGTGTGGCTTGGGATTCGTGGCCTCTGTCGTGTGTCAACATGTCCTCACTTCGCATGGAGCGCCAGTTACTGCTTTGCCTGCTTGTGTTTCTGTCAACCTTCTTCCTTCTTGGCTCCCGTCTCTTTGAACTTGAGTTCTGTATTGTGTTGTTCCTCGGCTCTGCTTTGTGTTCAGCACGTCGATGATACCAGACCGCAAAACTGCAGATTGTGAACCGCGAAATCGACGCAACTTTGCGCCTGCTTCTATTTTTCTCATTTCAACAATAAAAACAGGATTTCGGGATGTGTGTACATACATACATATATATATATATATAAGATTGTATAAGTATAGGAAAGAACCCTAAGGAATGACGCTGGCAATCACTCTGTCTTCTATATTCGGCCCTAAACCCTAGAGCAGCACGTCCTAAGACGTCCCACCACTTTAAACACGTGCACCGAGAAATGGGATAACAAGGCCCCTGATGCTGGTAAACTGCTAAACAGCAACCACCAGTAGAGGGCTTGTCACAATCAGAATGAACATAATACCACGAATGTTCATGGCTGAGGCATGACAAAACCGTGAATAATGATACAAGTAGCAGCACTACGAAGTTTCATAAGTCATCATCCCTCCCCCTTGCCCAAGCTGTGCGCGTCCTTGTAGCTCCCGTGGCTTACGTGGCTCACGTGGCTCACGTGGCTCACGTGATACAGTTCCCTTCCTGGGGCCGCCTCAGGGTGCTTAACATTATTCTCTACGATGAAGGTTCATGATTCAGGGTTGAAGGGTCCCTTAAGCTTCGGAGTACCTGAAAATGACCCTTGCAATAAGGGTACTACTATTCGGGACTATATTCAGGACTGTTTTTTTAAACTCGCCTGCAATGCTTCGAGAACCTCCAAAACACCTGACAAAAAGCCCTGATAAAACCCTTCAAAACGTTCGCACCCTATGCACCCTCATTAAGCCCTACTTGCCGAAACTCCCATCCTAAACCCTCAACCCTAAAGGGGGTTTGGGGGTTTACTTGGAGGATCATGGGACTTAGAAAGTAGGGTTATAAGTACCTTAATTGGGGTTATAAGTACTTATATGTATAGTTACCTTATTTATAACCCTAGTTACCAAGTCCCATGATCCTTTAAGTAGGAAACCCCCACCTCTTGCGGGACTGAGCCGAAGTTCAAGTAGGCGGCGAGGACGAGGCCGCAGCCAAGGAGGCCCACACTTACGCCCCCGAGGACCTTCATGCCGAAGCCCGGAATGCTGGCCTCCTGAGTCTAAGCTTCGTTTTTGCTGGTTTTGGGGTTTAGGGCTTAAGGCTTAGGGCTCAGGGGTTTGGGTTGAGGGCTTAAGGTTTAGGGTGTAAGGTTAGGGTTCAGGGCTCTTCTGGAACTTGAATCTTTGCCGCGCTGTACTTCTTGAAGGGCTGTTTATGGTATGTACAGCGGGGCATACAAGCTTGTAGGGTTTTACAAGGGTTCTATGATTGGGGGTCTGTAGTTGGTACTATATGGGCTTGTAAATAGTTGTATGAAAAGGAACCAATTCAGTTTCCTTACTCTTGCAGATAAAAATGGAGCTCTGATGAAAAACCCAGATTCTCTTTGGCTGGTCTGTGGAAGCAATTGGCTCTCTTCCGACATGGCTGGTTGTTTCTAGCCTGGTGCTCGCGAAGACTCGCTTCAAGCCGGAGAGGTTCTTGATCTCAAATGAGCTGCGGCCATTTCTGAGCCACTTGTTCGGAATAGTGTGTTGAATGCGTGGTGACCCGCTGCATGTCTCCGGGTAGTCCCAAAACTTGGAGGGTCAGTGACTTTGCAAGTCTGTGGTACTTTTAACTTTTAACTCTTTCAATGAACTACTTACTAGGTCCCCCGACCCTCGAAGAAGCAGAGTTGCCAGAAGACCTGCTGAGTCCGAATATCGGGGCCCTCATAGCTAGAGCAAGGATCTGGCGTTTCTTATACTATCGTTCTTTTTCGGACCCTAAGGAATGGTATTGATAGGTTTAGGGGTTTAGGGTTTAGGGTTTAGGGTTTAATCAAGCTCTCCCGCTGCCGAAAACTTAGACGCTTGTAGACAACCCGAGTAACTGCCCGCGGCCCACCATCTGAAGTTGTGACACCAGGCTCAATGCCAAGAAGCACCCTGCAGAAATGAACCGAAGGTTTTTGAAGTGAAGCTCCCTCACTTTGAAAGCATCGTGAGTGCAGTCTCTGAAAAGACCAGAGATGTGATCAAGACAGTGCCATTCATACACGTAGCAGTCATCAGCTACCATCTGCGTCCATACGTCTGTGACCTCCTAAGCTGATTGCTTCATCTGAGGAGCGGACTCGGCGATACACCATGAGCTCGATTGCCTCCAAACAGCCGACTCTGCCGGCTGGTAGCAGTAGCAGTAGCAGTAGCAGTAGCAGTAGCAGTAGCAGTAGCAGTAGCAGTAGTAGTAGGCGTAGTAGTAATAGTAGTAGTAGTAGTAGTAGTAGTAGTAGTAGTAGTAGTAGCAGTAGGAGTAGTAGTAGTACTAG